TATATAAATTCTGTGTGTGTCCTGTGTGATAGTCTGTGTGTACTTTGTGATGGAATATCTGTACTGTGTGCTAAACTGTTGGGAGCTGCTTGTTCTACTTAGCTGAAGCCATTTTGTAATTATCTGAAGCCATTTGTAATTCTCTAAGAACATGTTTGGACATGTTGCCCCTCCCTGGAAGGATAGGTTTCCATTTACCCCACCTTGGGAGGGTAGTTCGGTTTACTGGGAACGCCCTGATAAGTATCCTTACTTCTGCTTTCCACTCCCCACCCCCACATTGTGCTTCTGTATATAACCTGTGAGTGCGTTCAATAAAATCGAGACTTGATTAGAATCTCACCTTGTCTCCTTGTTTCTGTGCCTCTTGTCGCCCCCATTTTCGTTTTTCCCCTACTAGGGTCACCGTTGAAGATCCCCGCGGGCCGAGGCACTAATTGTCTATTCACCCACGTTGAGAAATCCAAGGTATGTCATGATCCCTTTCTTTTGTTCCTGAACTGTTTCCTAGTGATTGGTTTATTATCCACTGTTAACATCCTGAATCTGAAAATTGGGCCATCGTGACTATTGATTGAAGTGTCATTGATTATGCAGCCTGTCTGATCCTTTTACCAAAAGGAGGTGGTCAATCCATGCAACAGTACTTGAAAAAACTACAGACACAAAATTTTTTTTCCCCCATTCATTTATATTTTTTTAATTTTTTGGCACATCTTAATTTTTTTAATAGCAAAATGCATTTTTGTTTTTATTTCATGGTTGTCTTCTTTCTTCCCCCATTCACCAGCCATCCCAGCAATGTTCATATTGTACAGATACTTGTCCTATATATACAGAAAATATTTTCCTTGAATGGTCATGAGTTGAGTGGAAAATTGGCACTAACTAAAAAAAAAAGAAAAAGAAAGAAAAAAGAAAATGTGGTGCTTGCTTCAGCAGCACAGATACAAAAATGAGAATGACAGATTAGCCCCTCTACAAGGATAACATGCAAATGTGTGAATCATTTCATATTTTTTTGCACACCGTTGATAGAATTGTGCAATGGTGCAACCACTCACTCTGGCAGGCACTTTGGCACTTCCTCAAAACCTCAACATAGAATTTCCATATGAAACACCTATTGCACTATTTGGAATATATCCCAAGAAAATGGGAACTGAATCACTGTCCACCAGGATTTGTGCTTTTCAGCACCACAGCTTACCTGTCAGTTCTCTTTTTTTCTGACCCACCTTGGTATGAGTGTGTTCAGGAAATACTTATTCTGCAGCAAATCTGAGCATGGCTGAAGGATTAAAAACTATAATGTGTAGTATTTTATGGAGCAAAGTGAAGGAAAACCTTTGGCTGAATCAAAAGATGTGCAGTTAATCTCTTGAATCTGGTTTTCCCCAACTGGAGTAGTATTATACACTTTACAACATAAAGCTATTAAATAACTTTTTAATAAAAACAAACAAAACAAACAAACAAACAAACAAACCCAAAACAATGAGAACTGAAGGTCACATGGAGACTTTATACACCAATGTTCATAGCAGCCTTATTCACCAGTGCAAGAACATGGAAAAAAGCCCAGATGACCCAATACATTGGAATGAATTGAGAAATGATGATACATTCACACAATGGCATACTATGCACTACGCAGAAGCAATTGTTGGGGGCTGCTAGTTCAACCTAGCTGAAGCCATTTTGTAATTCTCTAAAGACATGTCTGGACATGTTGCCCCACCCTGGGAGGATAGGTTTCAGTTTCCTCCACCCTGGGAGGATAGGTTTCGGTTTACTGGGAACGCCCTGCTAAGTTTATGTTTACCAGATAACTTTCAGATTACTAGAAATGACATGATGTTGTTCTCCCTGATTGCGTACTTCTCCTTTCCACTCACTTCATTGTGCTTCTGTATATAAGCAGTGAGTGCTTCCCATAAAATTGAGACTTGATTGGAATCTCAAATTGTCTCCGTGCCTCTTGTCTCCTGTCCCCCCCATTCTCATTCTTCCCTTCCTAGGGTCACCATTGAAGATCCCCGCGGGCCGGGGTAAGCTATAATTTTGTAATTTATTATCCAATTTGGGAGGTATTAGAGAGTATTATGCTGA